TTGAGCAGTAGTGTAAAGATAGTTACTGACAGCTCCTCACATCACAGGACTGGACAAATGAAGCTCCACTGACAAGTTCAGAGGATAAAGACTCCAATATGAAGGAGCAATATTTGGTCACTGTTTGAGTGTGTTGAAAAGATGAACACCATACAATCCTACTACATACCAATGGAAAACAAAGGCCAAAGTTACCTGTTTTTCCTTGAAATATTCTTCCTCTTCCTCTTCAGTCTGTAGACCAGACGGTACAGTTGCCTGAGGGAGCTTTGCTTCAGCAAGCGTTTCTGTTTAAAAAAAAAAACAAAACAACACGCGCTGAGTGTAGGACAGAAGATCCGTCCAGTGCGTCCAAGATAACCAGAAAACGCAAAACATCAGAGAACTGAGGAAGATCCAACACGGTCAAAGTCACGGCTCCTAGCAGCAAGCTAGTTAACTACAAGCAGCTGTAACTACTGCGCTGTGCTTAACTCTGTTTCTTTTCTCTATGCATCAACATGGGCTTTTGTTTCCAGCAGTATCTGAGCTCAGGACTAACTTTCTCTCTGACCTATTAGTAACTAGCCGTGGGGGAAAAATCGATTCTTATCTGGATGAGCGAGAAATCCGACCGGCTCCCTCTGCATTAAAAGCTAGGTTAGGTCAGGAGTCACAACCCAAATGTTAAGAAGAGCCATTTTGTCCTTTCAACAAAGATCAAACCACCTTGAGAGCCACAATATTTACTGTCCAGTATGTCTCAGTGTGTGCTGATGTCCTAGTATAGACTAAACAATCTAAAGGAAAACGCAGGTTTACTTCGCTCTCTTTAAGCTTTAGCTACAGCCGCTTTCCTCCCATCTCTGCCCGAAAACTTTTCCTCAAAAGTAGATCAGTTTCTTGTAAAATGTCTCTCAGCGTTCGACTGTTTTACGAGGCTGAAGTCGCTTCTCACTCTCCAGCTTCTTGTTCGAATTTTCCTGTTCCACCTTAAATTCTGCCTGAGGCGCCAAATGTAAATGTGACACTATTTAAGGTGGAACGGGGAAATTCCAAAGAGACGCTGACTTCATCTTCGCAACTTTTTAGTGTTTGACAGTCTCTCCTTGCAGATTTAACGTACCAGGAAACCAACTACGGTGCTTATAAATGCGAACAAGTCCAGGAAACCACTACACTGCTGTGTCCATCTTTCCCTGCTTTACCACACTCAGCTGGAATTTGTGCCCTAGACCCTCAGAACCAGGTAAGCAAGAGCTGGGAGCAGTTTAGCTGTTCACAGTTCAAGAAATCAAAAATATGCTGTGTAGTGTTTTCCCAGGGGCAGGGTTGAAAAGGGTCTCCCAGTCCTTCTCCTGCGGTACCTTTCACTTTCATTCTTTTGGAGAAAATGAGTCACCAGCCCTAGTTTACATAACATGGAAATGATCTGGTATGGAAATATATTTATGGCGCTAAATTATAAATATGCTCCCTCATAGCCTTCAGCTTGTAAATAAGCACACTTTGTTGTCTTTTCGCTTACAGCACAAACCTAGTCATATCAAACGCATCATATACCCATAGTCTCAGTCTAAATGGGGCAAAGCAACGCCAACATGTTTGTTTTTAAAAGGAAGGATAAGTCTGGATCTTGGGATCAGTCTGAAAGTAGGCAAATCCCCAGCCTAAAGGATTCAAGTGTGTAGCTGTAAAATGGGTCGACAGTCTTAAATTCACTGGACACTACATAAGCATCACCTTTAACCGGGACAACGCTTTTACCAAGCCAATCTTATTTCCATCAGAATCTTTGATACAAGAATTTCTGACACACACCTCTTCAAACTCTTTTGCTGGTCCTGATATATACTGTACTCCGAAGCACCATCGGTAGGTTCTTTTTCTTTCTGCATTCGGGTGTCATATCGCTGTCAGCGACAATGGTATTCTTATCGATTTCAGACGTTTGACATCATCACTTAAATCAGGGCCACCTTAAAAAACCTCTACAAATCCGTGGGCCAGAGAACGTCTGTGTTCTTATTTGACTGTTGAATAACATTTTACTATAACCTGATCTGGTCATTGTTTATTCAACATAAGCCAAAACACCAACATCAGAATGAAGACAGTTGTAGTGAACCTTGAAATATTAGATATATTCAAATATTAAATAAATAAATACATGAATGAATGAATGAATAGGCTACAGTACTTGAGTTGAATCAGATGTTGTTTCTTCTGTATCTCTTATTCTTTTTCTTCTACGCATTTTGCACTGCGACGATATGAGAAACGATAAACTGTTTTTAAAATAGCTAAAATAGTTCAAATAAATAAGTGAATAGGCTACAGTACACAGCTTTATCAACATTACAATAGGCTACATTACATTGCACCCATTGTGCTGCAGTGCATGCTGGGGACTGTAGTGCAGCACATTGTGAAACGGGCTAATATTAATAGAAAATGAAAATAATTTCGTGGGCCAGAAAGGATTGGGTCGCAGGCCTGATCTGACCCCCGGGCCTTGTGTTCGACATATGGCACTTAAATGAACGAGGCCATGTACACTGCATGCTAAAAATGCTCACTGAAAGACAAGTAAAGTCCCTGAGAGTCACACCCTGACATACATACAGGTGGACGGGCCAGACATCACAGAGAACCACAGGGCCAGTACAGAGCAAGAACTGCCTCAGTTCGGCTGCCGTCCACCGATTTCTCTCCTCAAAGACCTGGGTTTTCGAGCAAATTTGGAGGGTACAAAGTTCTTCAGTTCAGATTCGGTGACATTTTTTGTACCAGGTGAAACGGTATGCATGCTTGTTCAGGACCGCTGGTCCACACATCAAACAAGTGCTGAACACATCGAGTCGTGAGGAAAATCTTTGATCATGTCAATATTTCTCTCACAGGATGATCCTCATCAGACACAAGCCTAAACCTTTCATCGGTCCTTAAGGCTGCATGAGTCTGTGGAGACGTCATACGATTTTAATGAAGACGCCATGCTGTGACCTCTCGTCACACGAGGAACAGCCAGTGTGACTCCGACATTCCTCTAACGAGAGCCTGTGCAGGAGCATCACATATAACAGAGCTGACTAACAAAAACTCCCGTCCCTCGAACTGAAACCCGCACTGCAAGCTCTTTATCTCATTCACTAAATCCTTCAGACACTCTAAAGATTTCGGTTGAGATGCGCTACTGTAAGCGCCAAGCATGAATGGTTTCTTGCTCGCTTTTTGTCAGCGCTCCCAAAATTGGCCACAGCTGCATATGACTACTCCTGAACAGTGGAATCCCATCAAAATTCAGCTGTAACCTCAAGGTATGTCTGTCTGGGAGCATATTTTCTCCAGTAGGCCGCTTACTGAGTTCCGGTTCCGGTGTGCCGTAGAATGGCCGCACTGGTGAGAGCTCTAGGTAAACTCTACAGTTTTGTGTTTTATTGTGCTGTTTCGTTGTGTTTTTGCACGTACCACTTTTGGGATCATTCAATATGATCGACAAACTCTTTTGAACATCTCTATATTTTGTGTATATTTAATAATATTACAGTTTGTTTTTATATATTTTACTTTTACTTGTTTACTTTCTGTAGAGTGATTAGCTGAGCCTCACCACAAGCATTTCAATGCATAAATGTCCCGACATGTTGTGCAAAAGACAAATAAACTTGAAACTTGAAACTTGAGTTCAATACACCAAAACAGAACACAGAACCCCCTGTTATGCTTTGGATTTTATAATCAGTGGCAGTTCCATAGAGAGTGCTTGCATCTGTCGGCAGGTTTGGGTGAGGGATTCGTAGAACTGACTGCAAAGCAGATCATGCAACTATTGTAACTCCAAACTCTGAAGCCCGGGATTTTTACCAGTACTCTCTCCAGAAACATCCCCATCACTATCCTTGTCATTTTCACGTGGTCCTCATTACTCACAACTGTACTTTCCATATCACCACCTGCACGGTCTTGCTGCATGGCCTTCAGCAGATCAGATACACTGGCAGCTGATTTCCGCCTAATGTTAGATGTGAATGTGTGCAGGGAGTATTTGTTGTATTTGTTACATTACTTGTTACACTTGTTACATTAACTTCCATTATAAGTGATTTCATTAAAGTACACCTTGTATCTACACTCACTGACCATACAGGTTCACTTTGTAGCTCTACAGTTACAGACTGTAGTCCATCTGCTTCTCTGCATACTTTCTTAGCCCCCTTTTACCCTGTTCTTCAGTGGTCAGGACCCCCATGGACCCTCACAGAGCAGGTACTATTTGGGTGGTGGGTCATTCTCAGCACTGCAGTAACACTGACGTGGTGGTGGTGTGTTAGTGTGTGTTGTGCTGGTCTGAGTGGATCAGACACAGCAGTGCTGCTGGAGTTTTTAAACAGCTCAGTGTCACTGCTGGACTGAGAATAGTCCACCAACCAAAAATATCCAGCCAACAGCGTCCTGTGGGCAGCGTCCTGTGACCACTGATGAAGGACTAGAGGATGACCAACACAAACTGTGCAGCAGCAGATGAGCTATCGTCTCTGACTTTACATCTACAAGGTGGACTGACAAGGTAGGAGTGTCTAATAGAGTGGACAGTGAGTGGACACAGTGTTTAAAAACTCCAGCAGCACTGCTGTGTCTGATCCACCCGTACCAGCACAACACACACTAACACACCACCACCACATCAGTGTCACTGCAGTGATGAGAATGATCCACCACCCACCCAAACAGTACCTGCTCTGTGAGGGTCCATGGGGGTCCTGACCACTGACTACAGTCTGTAACTGTAGAACTACACAGTGAAACTATATGGACACATATCAGTAGCAAAATTAAAATGAAAATGTTATACGTAAAAAGGCAATATATTCCTATTTTTAAACAACACCATAGCAATCACCTGGGATACAATAGCCACAAGGCCAGGATTCGGCTGGATCTGATCCAACTCCTCCCACGCCGTGTTTTAACTGGTCTGAACTCGAGTGGAGCTGATAAAATGGACAGTGAGTGTAGAAACAAGGCAGAGCGAGCTGATAAAGTGGCCTATCAGGGTTTATAGCACTTAATATGATTTTTTAGGTGTATTGAGTCATTTTTATTAGACTCGTGGAAATGTGTGGCTGTAACACCCAATCCTTTTAAATGTAAACAAGTCATTATAAAGATTTGTATTATGAAATTCCAGGATTTAGTTGGTAAACACAGTTATGAGGGTTGTTTTGACCGGTCATGTGTCCATTCTCGTGTTTAAAAACGTTCATTGTTTTCAGCTGGAACCCGTCTATCCTAAGCACGCTTGAGATGCAGGCCTACAGAACGGGACTTTGTACCGGAATGTGAAAAAGGCTCTTCGAGTTGTGACAAATGAGCGTGAATGCCGTGAATCATGCGCGGTTATAACGGCCGTGCTGCGGCGTTCAGGGCGGAGCAACATCGAGAAAAACACAGAGACACCAGCATCACCTGCGGATTTCCCGCTGAGAAACACGCGGCAGGGCGGACCAATGAGAGAGGCTCGAAAATAGGCGGGAAACGTAAGCCACACATATTGGTTTAAAGACCAATAGAAATGCGACGATTTTAGACGTGGGCGGGGTTTGAGCAGCTCCGGCTCCACCCCTTTTGACCTTTGGTTCCGCGGCGAGTGAGAGTTAGTTGGTCTCGCGAAATGGAGGAGCCGGTGTATCAGGTGAAGACAAACGCTTACAGATACAGCTGGGATAGGCTCCAGCACCCCACCGCGACCCAGAAGGATAAGCGGTTCAGATGATGTGTGTGTGTGTGTGTGTGTGTTAGTGTTACAGGCCAGCTACAGGTCAGCACCAGCGGGAAACAGCGAGCTCGAGCGCTGCTCCTTCACCTTCTCACTGCAGGGGGTCTCACTGTGACTCACAGTAAAGCAGCCCCCGCTGAAAACAGCCACACAAACCATTAGGAGGGTCTGCTGGTTCCTGGTGTGCACTAGGCACGCGGGCTGATATCACAGTGTAAAGGACTCTAATGGTTCAAATGGTCTTTTTTCAGCAGGGGCCGATTAAAAAAGTGTGCAGCTGCCAGACCGCAGAGAAACGTTGACGCAACATTGAAACTAGACGCTGGATCAACTCCGGTTCAAGCTTGATCTAAACACTGATTATAGTGAGGCTGTTTCAGTGTTTACATCACACATATAGTCCTGTTTTATGTACAACAGGACTTCTAAAATATGGTTGTACAACAACAACAACAACAACAACTAATAATAATAATAAATTATTATTATTATTATTATTATTATTGTTGTTGTTGTTGTTGTTGTTATTAGACTAGCATATTGTATGTTGTATGTGGTCCTATATAGCACCAAAAAGGGTTCTGCTACTGTTACAAAGGTTGACACTGTAACAATAGAAGAACCCTTGCTGTGCTGTATAGAACCCTTTTAAAAAGGGCACCATTCTCCACCAGTATGAAGACGCCTTTAATCATGCAAAGGGTTCTTTGAGTGTTCATGGTTCTATATAGAGACATTTTCGCATTCCAAATAGCAGAACCCACATGTGGAACACGTCTTTTTTCATGCATGAAAATGACTGGCACCCTAAATTTATTCTAAAAGTACAAAATCAAAATCCTGTCAAATGTGTTGAGTTTCTGAACAGGTCAATGCAGATAGAACCTTCTAATCCTGAGAGCTCAGTTTCTGATTGGAATTACAAGGTTCTGTCTGACAGAACATGACAATAAGTTTCCTTTACTCAAACAGAAACAGCTGCTGTAATAAACTGTCCCAGCTGGTCAGTCTAAATGCCGTGTGGGGTGTAGTTTTATATCAGAAATGTGACTCTAATGAGCCAGAATGCCTTATTTTGGGAGAAAGACGAAAAAGAAAAGCTGGATGAATGAATGAAATGAACGTTTATTTTGTAATTAAGACCCCATTGATTCAAATGTTCACTAATTACCTTCAGGGCTTAATATTTATACAGTTTAACAATAAGAGTTTTTAAAGAACTGCAGGGAGACAGGACAGGAGTTTCAGCAACATGTTTTCATGTTGCACAGTTTCATAAACCTGGAGATACAAATATACAGACTTAGAAATAGTTATTAATTTAAATTAATTAATTATTACTTAATCAATTATCAAGTCATTGCAAAACATGCATGAAAATGCAAAAACTCAGTTTCTACTGACGATGAAAAATGATTCTTTCATCTCAGTTTTCTAAAATACCTCTATCTCATTAAGGTGGCAGATTCTGAGCCCTATAGCCTCGACTCATTTTTTCAGCAGAGCACTGTAACACTGTTCGTCTGCAGGCCGCTGGCTCCACAGGTGTGGCCCTTATTATGTCTGGTAAAGACCCCACGGCTCCACTGCCCCTCCTTCTGCTACCTCTACCTCACTAGCCTGGAGGAAAAGAAAACATACTGACCATGTCAGGAATCAGGGTCATCACAAAAATAAAGAGAGACGGAAAAGTTATCAGCATGGCTCCACTGAGTAGCTAAAGGCTACACCAAACTCTAACGTTACGATCTTTCTGCAGTCATTAATGTTGAACACAGAGGCAGCTGTTAGAAGCTGTTAGCAGAGTTAGACAATAACTACAGTTCAACGTTGATTCAACGTCTTGGTTTCAATGTTGAAACAGTGTTTAAGAATTCGACCTATGGCAGCGTTGATTTGTAGTTGATTTTTGGTCATCATCCAAAAAAGACCAAAATGATGTTATATCAATGTTGATTCAACGTTACTTTGCGTATACACAAGTCTGAAATCTGACCTGACTAGGAACTTTTTTTATTTCCTGTAAGCCCATTGGATGCTCCTGTCAGGTGATGCTATGAGCCTCTTCCTGAGGAGCTGATGTGAATGACATCGTCACTCTGAATCTGTTCTTTCTTATTATTTTGTCGCCCCTCCAGTTTCAGGTGGACCTTAGGCTGAGGCAGAGGGCTCTGGAAGAGTGGCAGTGGAAAACATCCACCACCTTAAAGCAAGTCAATGGCCAGAGGACGTATGGCGGTCCTCCTCCATGTAGGTGCATGTGGACTGGTGGGCCTTTACATTAGTGTGCACTCATTAAAACGCATCGTACTGAGGAGAGCTTACTGCTTTTGAGGAGAATGGTGTGTGAATTGAGGATGAGAGGAACCATTTTCCTGCCCCCCCCCACCTCTCAGACATCGTGGAGACCCCTCTAACAACTGTGGCCTGTCCACGAACCAAGAGCTGGAGTCAAAATCCTCTTTTTGTCTCCTGCTCTTTGCTTCTGCCTCTGCTTTAGAGCAGCAGCCTTCATACCTGCCAGCAATAATAACTAGTTGGCAACAGCAGGTTCCACTGCTTATACCATCCATTATGCTAATCAGTTAAAGAGGAAGTTCACCGAATGTTAATTAAATGGTTGAGATATAAACAGTGGTTTAATGTGAAATGGTTTCCAGCCCTGGTGCTGGAGGACCCCCTGCCCTGGAAGGAGTTTCTGGTTGTACTGGGAGGAGGTTCTGGTTGTGCTGTGAAGAGTTTCTGGTTGTACTGTGAAGAGTTTCTGGTTGTACTGGGAGGAGTTTCTGTTGTAATGGGAGGAGTTTCTGGTTGTACTGGGAGGAGTTTATGTTGTACTGGGAGGATTTTCTGTTGTACTGGGAGGAGTTTCTGTTGTACTGGGAGGAGTTTCTGTTGTACTGTGAAGAGTTTCTGGCTGTACTGGGAGGAGTTTCTGTTGTACAGGAAGGAGTTTCTGGTTGTACTGGGAAGAGTTTCTGGTTGTACTGGGAGGAGTTTCTGGTTGTTCTGGGAGGGTTATTATGTTATTTTAAATCCAGTTCTGCTGTGGAGCTGCAGCAGCTCTGCAGCAGTGGAGAGATTGATGAGGATTCTCAGGCTGAAGTGTTGCTGAAGTTTAATATAGGACTCTGAATGTCGTGTCTGTCTGTATCTTACTGAAATGTTCAAATTGGAGCAGTTTTATTGACAATGCTTTGCACAAAGTTGTTTGGTTTTGGTTATTTCTGTTGATTTTTGTTAGGAAAAACCTGGAATGATTGACTTTGCAGTTGGGCTTATTTGGTGTGTCAGGTGGAGGTTCACAAACATTCTGACAATCACGCTTCGAAAGTAGCTAAAAAGTAGCCACAACTTTTCAAAAAGTAGCTAAAAAGTAGCCACTACTTTTCAAAAGTAGCTAAAAAGTAGCCACTACTTGTTCTGGAAAAGTAGCTAAATTGTAGCTAACTACTCATTTTTCAGTAGCTATCCCACCCTGATTACTGTAAAATTCATCACACTGTTTGTTTTTACTTCTATGAGTTTCATGTTTCAGTCAAGTGGACATTTTTTTTGCCTGTCTCTAAAACAACATCTGAGGTTTGATTACATTGCTGTGCACCAGTGGGCAGGGAGAAATTATTAAAGAAATATTAAACAGTATCATGTTTAAACTGATACTGTCCCACCACCACCTATCAACGAGAGAATCACTCATCTAGCTTAAAGACCCTCCCTGACGCCATTTTCACTCGCGAATATGTCATGATATAGAAGGTAAACGTATTGTGATTTCCAAATCACGTTGACTTTAAGATCAATATGTGATGCTTGATCTTTGTTTGGTAATATGGGAATTATTTCTGATAACTGAAAAGGCAGAAATTAAAATCTTAAAGTGCTCTGCAATGTAAACTGTTCTTTGATTACTTTATTATTTATTTAACAGCTGACTTGCTCAGTTTTATTTACAGTTTGTTTTAAAATATTTCACTTTGAAATATTGTATATAGAAGTGGAACGCTCCGTTCTAGATAAACTTACCGAATAAGAACTGTTCACAGTGGTGGTGATAGGAACCAGACGTCCACCTCTAAAAGCTCCCTCACAGAAAGTTAGTACAGGAAATGGCTGCCTGATTTCTGAGATGTTGTTTTAAGGATAGTTGTGAGAAGGTTTTGGTCTAAAATGTGTTTTTAAAATGTGTTTATGGTGGAGGAGTACATGCAGGACGTAGTAAGGTTAAATAGTCCCCAAAGAAAACTCCTCTCCTCTCCTCTCCTCTCCTCTCCTCTCAGACTGGACAGGTCCTGTTCCCGGTCCTGGCTGTGAGGTGTACATCGGTCAGATTCCACGGGACATCTTTGAGGACCGCCTGATCCCGATCTTCCAGAGCGTTGCGCTGCTGTATGAGTTTCGCCTCATGATGAACTTCAGTGGGCAGAACCGCGGCTTCGCCTTTGCCAAATACAAAGACCCTGCCACCGCAGTGCGCGTCATCCGGGCCCTGAACCATTACCCGCTGCAGGAGGGTGTGCAGCTGGTGGTCAGGAGGAGCACAGAGAAAAGGCAGCTATGCCTGAGACATCTGCCCTCAGGTATGGGTCACAAGGAGGTGCTCAGGGTCCTCCGGCAGCTCTTGGACGGGGTCGAGGGCGTCACTTTGAAGGCTTGTGGGCCCATGGGAAATGACATCTTTGCGCTGGTGGACTTCTCGTCTCACTACGCCGCCTCCATGGCTAAGAAGCTACTGACGCAAGGTATGATGGGAGCTGTAGGCTAGGAAGAAATAGGCCAGGTTTCAGACTTCAAAATGGCTACTGCTGTTTTCAGCGAAATGTTGTACTTTTGTCCTTTTTTACAGTTAACCCTATCATACAGTGTCAGAAACCACATAAGCAAGTCTGTCTCAGATTGATTTAAGCTGCACTATGTAAGTTTTTGTGGTAGCATTACTGAGTCAGACCAAAAAACACCATAAATTGTGACATCTCTGTGCTGCTTTAAGTCGCCCTTTAAAGTCTGAAATCATCATTTATATGTCAGAGGTGTCCTTTCGGGTTTTGTGGGGGTTATCAGACCACGTCTCACATCTCTTTACGTATTAACGTCACACAAACAGGCTTGAGGAGAAGTCTGCAAGGGGTCAGAAGCACAACGCACGTTGTGTGCAGTTACACATTTCCACCAGAGAGTACCCTTAAATGTACATAGTGTAGTTTTAACAGCTTGATACAGTTGATGTGATCACGTTTAGCTGAAAAGGAGTTGTTCTGGAGGTTTGGAGTTACTGAGACGTTAACAGGTGGAGAACGTTTCCTTCCACAGTTCCACTGAAGTCACAGAGTGCCCAGCTGTCAGAGATCTTGTGGAGGAGATACTGAACCCTTATCACATGATTCACTGAACAAATTAAGCCCAGGCAGAGCCTCAACTGCAGGGTGAATCCACATTAACATTGACGCTGTGATTTAGTTACACTGGGCTTAACATAAAACAAGCATTAAAGGGGAACTCCACCAAATTTTCTGCGTAATTAAATTTTCGAGATGTAAACGAAGTGATTCAGAGTGGTGTGGTGTTAAATGGTTCAGATGTCTTTACAGTGGTGATTATAGGAACCAGGGGTCGCCATGACTACAACACAGATATAGACATTTTATTTGCTATGCAAAAGCTACTCCTGAGTTTTTATATGTAATATTATTATATGCGTTGAAGTGACATCGCATTAACATAAGTGTACTATTGGACTTCAGGAACAGTATATATATAGTTTTTGTGTGGAAAAAACATCTCGAGTTTGGACCCGTTTTGTTAACCACAGGCTGCGATAACGGTGATTTTCGAAAATCCCATTCATTTTTGCCATAGAGAAATCCAGCTTAGACCAGCAGTTTTTAATATGGACATGACAGTGGCTATAGAATGAACAGAATATAGAACGGTGAGAGAACATTGATAGAGGAAAACACAAAAAGGACTTGATGAGTCTATGGGGTGCCGTGTTGTGTATAACATGACAAACATGACACGCTAGGTTTAGCCTGGAACCTTAAAATTGCTGGTTTGAAGAGGAGCAGACTGTTCTTATTAAATATATACAATAAGTCGTGTAAGTCAGGCCTGGTCGTTACTGCACATATAACTGCTTTTGCATTAGCCTAACCGCTAGTCTGTATTGGCCTTGAAAGGATGGCAGTTATACTGAAAATGTCAGTCTGACAGCACAGAGGTCTGGCCTACTATAAGCAGCAGCACATATTCACCCCTCCGATACATCCCTCTAGCAGAGCCAGCAGCAAAAGTGCTTGTTTCAGAGAGGCAAAGTAACAGTATGTTCTGTCGAAACTGGAATGGATGAAGATGCTGTGCTCGTTGTGGAGCCCCGTACAATAATCCAACATACTGCTATCATTTAGAACACAAGGCTACATTTCAGGTGATTTCAAAGGAAATCAGTTGGTACACCAGGCTCAGTCTCACCAGCTCTGAACGGGCAGGAGGTCTGAGAGACCAATGCACCCTCTCAGCACTTCATAAAATCCTCAAAAACGAACATAGTTTTTTCCACAGGCGATGAAGTTGGTGTTCAAGAGACTCTATAAAACATGTGAGCTTTACTCCATCGATGTTTGCGGTACTCAAATTTTCAGGATACACGATATGTGACAATATTTATTTTTTCAGACATCTGATCAGATTGAACTGAGAAAAAAACATTTTAAAAATACCATGACAAACTGTGTGAATATAGTGTTCAATATTTGGCATAATGTGCTGCACTAAATCCAGTTAAACTTAACTGAACATGCAGGTGGTCAGTGTTCTACAAGTACTGTCGATATACATGATATGTTCAGGGTCCTTTAGAGCTAAAACCTAAAAAGAAAGAGCCAAGTTCCCCAAATCAGTGATACCCCTAACTGGTTATATGTTTATGGTTTCCCTGCTCTGACACACCTGATCCAGCTAATCAGCTAATCAACAGACCCCTCTTGAGTCTTCTTAGAATCCCACAGTGCACTGTACAGTGTTCTAATAGTGTTCCATGCAGTGCTCCTGACTTTACAGTGCAGGCTATAGTGATCAGGGGGCTTTCTGGTTCCTATGTTATTGTTTTTAGAATGTAGTGAACAGTGATTAGGGGACAGTTTCTGTTGGCTGTAATTAGGCCTGTCACAGTTATTACACAAATACAATACAGGGATGGATTGTCATGACTGTGACAGGCCTACCTGTAATAAGTAAGTGTTCTATGTGGTGCTCCTTATTTCCAGTGTAGGGAACAGTGATTAGCTGACAGGTTATTTGGCCATATAACAGTGTTCAGTACATGCTCCTGATTTTTTTTCTTATGTAGTGAACAGTGATTAGGGGACCATTTCAGTTCTCTATAACAGTGTTCCTGCTCCTAGAGATCTACCACCTTGCAGAGTTTAACTCCAGCCCTAATCTAACACACCTGGTAATGAAGGTCTTCAGGGGCGTCTGAACATTACAGCCATGTGTGTGTTGGACCTGAACTCTCCAGTCTGGTAGACCTCCAGGACTAGGATTATGCACCTCTGGATCAGAGGGACCATTACAGTCATGGCGTAGACTGTGCCTGGTCGGGGATATTTCAGGGACCAGGGTTAGGATCCGTTTCCCTGGATATAATTTTCCTTGCTTTCTTCTGTCCTCAGAGGGCGATCAGCACTTTGGCGCTTCCTTCTTTGTCTTGTGGAGCCCCAAGTCCAGAGAACAGGAAAGAAGGATCATCGCAGACGGCCTGAAACAAGGCCCTCTTCCTCCTCCTCCTCCTCCCCTTCGCACCCAGGGATTCTCCTGGGCTGTAGGAGCCCCGGCCCCCAATGTGAAGAATGGGATGGCACCCAAGATGATCAGAAGGCTCAGGTGGACGCCCCATGGTGCAGCAGACCTTTTCCAGTGGCTTTGTGAGGTGCATGGCCTTGGTGTCCCAATGTATGAAATGCATTGCCACCACACAAGCCGAGACGGCTTCCTTCACTTCAGATACAGGTAAGGGTGAGCAGTGTGGTGGACAATACATCACAGTACTTGAAGACATGTTCACGATAGGTATCACGTAGGAGCGATCAGTGTTATACTTATCGTTATGGTGATTAAATTACGCTTCATCGCATCACAGTGTGCTTTTCTGAGCATGTTGTGGATACCATCAGTTGATCAGCCAAGACGTGTTTGCTGTCAGTTTTGCTTCTTTGCTTTAGAACTGGGCTAATGTAGCTAACAAAACCTGGGAGTCAGTAGCCTCTCAAACCGTTTCCACAAACACAGTGCCTTGCACAAGTATTCAACCCCCTTAAGTCATCAGGTTTGTCTGGATTATGAATAGCACCAACACAGACTGTTCCAGCCAGCATCAGTATGTAGTGTATTCTTTAAGTAAATGTTCAAAGTCAAAAAATTAAAAAGTGAAAAGTGCTGCTTGCATAAGTATTCACCCTCTGCAGAATAGGACTTGGTAGGTCTACCTTTAGCTGCAGTAACAGCTTTTAAAAAAAATCTGTCAGAGTGAGTTTCTGCCAGCTTTGCACACGGTTTTCACCCAGTCTTCCTGGCAGATTTAATCCAGGTAGGTCAGGTTTGGCAGATGACGCTTGCAGACTGCAGTTTTAAAATGGTGCCACAGATTCTCGGCTGGACTGAGTTCTCGACTTTGACTTGGCCGTTGTAGAACGTTCCCCTTTTTTGTTGTTCAACCACTCCTGTGTAGCTTTGGCTGAAAGGTGAAGTTTCTCCTCAGCTTCAGTTCTTTATCAGACTAAAGCGGGTTGTTTTGCACCATCCATCCATCCGTCCTTCCATTTTAACGTCATGCCCAGTCCCCTCTGCAGAAAAGCATCCACAAAAGATGCTGCTGCCACCCCGTCCTTCACGGTTGGAATAGTGTTTGTTGATGAATGAGTAGCGTCAGGTTTGCACCACACATCATTTTTGAGTTTTTGTCTCATCTGATCACAAAACCATCTCCCACATTTTAGCTGGGGCACTCTCTCGCTTTCTGACGTGCTTTGATGTGTTTTTCTTCAGTATTGGCTGAATTGACTTTTTCTAGTGACGGATGTTTTGAATAAATAATCTTTATCTTTGATAATTCTTACAAGTAGCGTTTATTAACCAAAGAATAGTAATCTTCACACTGTAAAATAGGCCTTAGCTTCCATGAGAACTTGGACTCAGGATGTCCCTTTCAGTAAAAGGGGCCTCCAGAAGCTTGTGAGAATCTGCTGTGTGACCAAGAGGAGCTGTCTTTGAGATAAGAACCAGTCCTGGAGTAGGTGAATTTACAATGCGACCAGTCAAAGCTAACGTCTTTGGGAACTGGAACATCCTGGTACGGCTAAGATAAGATATTTTTTTATTTTAGGGTTCCCAAGTGAAAATGTAACGGTTCCCACGGAAATGTAAGGTTTGGAAATGATGGTAACTAAGATGGTATAGAATTCCATAGAAAAGGAGGGGCGATTACTTCATCGCCCCAAACAGGGTATAAAAATGGGTGTTTTTGACATGATCTTTGCATTGTGGTTGTCCGGGAACCATCTTGCCATCTAAGCTCAATAAAGTAGAAGGCCTTTTCCTTCCTTCCACAAGAACTCAGCGACTGAAGTCTTTTATTTTACTTTGCTTTTTACACTTTTTTCTACATTTTTCTTATTTTGTTAGAAAAGTTATACCACAGTTAGCTCTTAAGGTAACAGTATTAGAACACGTTAGAAGAATCCATCTCTGTCCACGGGCCTTGAGCACAGAGGAGAGGCTTTTGGGCCCGACACTAGCCACCCTCCCTAACAGGCCAGTTGTATGCAGAGCTCCATGTATCATTGACTGGTGCACCTTCACTCCGGTTTCAGCCACTGAGCTCTGAAGCTCCTTCAGAGTGATTTGTGGCCTCTCTGTGGCTGATGACTTTTAATCTGATGACTTTCAAGGGGCTTGAATACTTTTGCAAGGCACTATGTCTGAACCCCCCTAAACCATAATTCAGGTTGTGCTACTATACTATCCTACTATGAACTAGATTTTGCGCAGCTGCTTTACTGAACGTCTCTTTTCCTAGTCTGCGGTAGTCGAGTGGCGTCAGTAGGAAATCGGTAGATTTCTTTGTTCTGTTTTTGCTGAATGGAACTAAACGCCTCATTTTTGTAGGTTCATCCTTTTAGACTCGGGTATTACCCTGTTAACGCTACGTAGCTGGGTGATGATGTTTCAGCTTCAATGTGTAAACAAGGTCTATGCCATTTTACCAAATTCCCTTTTTTCAAAACTAATTTACGCAGCTGACCAACATGAAGCAAATATAGGAAGATTTTGGCATGCATTTGTGGGAATGATTTTGGTGACTATTTACTTCCAGTGTTTGTTAGCAGCGTAAGCCTCGCAGCTCCAGTTGTAAAATAAGGAAGCAAAACTTAGACACTAAATATGTAATCACGAAAATTAGATTTTTCCCCAAACTCTTCCTTTAAAGCAGAATTCTACCGATTGTTCAACATTTCTGCAAAAATTCAGTGGTTGAAATGTAAACAAAGTCATTCAGGTTGGCTTCCAAAATAGTTTGTTTTCTTCGGGCTCTATTCTGCCTTACGACGCGCTGCTTGTACCTCTCTGCCATCATGCATTAATAAGAAAAATGGAACATAATGGAAAAAAAGGACTTAAGGCTTACAAATCATCTCAAATCGTATGTTTCATTAAAAAGAGAGCCTTAGTCATGTGTAGTCAGATTAAGTGCAGTCATGCGTTAAATACAAATTATGGATGATATCAGAATCCTATCGGTAACGGATCCACGTCAGGCAGATGTTTAGATTTGACTGACATAGAAAAACAGCACTTAATGATGTATTTATTGCACCCTGGAAGCGCAGATCGTTTAGGTGATGCTGGACTGCTGGGCTAAAATCTCATTCTCATATTCATTTTACTGTATCACAGCTCTCTACAAATAAATGCTACAACCATTTCCAAAAAGTTGAGATGCTGTGCAGAATGTAAATAAGAACAAAATGCAACGATGTGCAAATCATTTAAACCCTATATTTCATTGAAAATAGTACAAAGACAACATATCAAATACTGGAACTGAGAAATTTTATTTTTTCATTTCATAATGTGCCAAATGTGATTAGTGATGACAAGTCTGGACTGCAGGCAGGTCAGTTTAGCACCTGGACTCTTTTAATATGGAGCAATGCTGCTATAATCCATTTAGAATGTGGTTTGACATCGTCTTGCTGAAATAATCAAGGCCTTCCCTGAAAAAGACGTCGTCTGGATGGCAGCATATGTTGCCAAAACATGTATATATCATTCAGCATTAATGGCGCCTTCACAGATGTGCATGTCACCCATGCCATGTGCACTAATGCCCCCCTATACCATCATGAATACTGGCTTTTGAACTGTGCACTGATAACTAGCTGAGTGGTCTTTAGCCCGGAGGACACAGTGTCCATGATTTCCAAAAAGAATTTCACATGTTGATTCGTCGGACCACAGGACACTTTTCCACTTCCCCTCAGTCCATTTTAAATGAGCTTGGGCCCAGAGAAGGAGGCAGCATTTCTGGATCCTGTTTATATTTGGTTTCTTCTTTGCATTTTTGAGTTTTAACTTGCATTTGTGGATGCAGTGATGAACTGTGTTTCACAGACAGTGGTTTTCGGTAGTGTTTCTGAGCCCATGCAGTGATTTCCACTACAGAATCATGTCTGTTTTTAATGCAGTGCCATCTGAGGGCCCAGCACATACTGGTTTTTAGCCTTGTCCCTTACATACAGAGATTTCTCCAGATTCTCTGAGTCTTTTAATGATATTATGTAGCTGTAGATGATGAAAAGCAAAAGTTATTTGCTGTTTTATGTTGAGAAACGTTATTCTTGAATTGTTGCACTATTTGATCGTACAGTCATTCTCAGAGTGTGAACCCCTCCTCATCTTTACTTCTGAGAGACTCCGCCTCTCTGAGATGCTCTTTTATACCCAATTGTGTTACTGACCTGCTACCACCAAGTGTTTTTTTTTAGCATTACACAACTTTACCAGCCTTTTGTTGCCCCCATCTCAACTTTTTTGGAACGTGTTGTTGGCATCAAGTTCAAAATTGGCAAATATTTTTCATAAAACAATAAAATGTCTCACTTTCAACATTTGATATGTTGTCTTTGTACTATTTTCAATGAAATATAGGGTTTAAATGATATGCACATCATTGCATTTTGTTCTTATTTACATTTTGCGTCCCAACCTTTTTGGAAATGGGGTTGGCTAATCCTGGTGGATGGAGTCCCATTTTCTACATCGTATGCATTTACGTATCGGCATCAGCAGACGTGTACATGAAAGATATCGGCAGTGGGTCACAATTCCCAGATCTGCAGATCACTAACAAAAATCGTTGTATTTATAATATATATTCATATTTTGATAGTATTTTTTAAATGTGCCACTACTGGTTCTTTTGTTGTCTGTTCCAACTCATTAAACCCCAGCAAGACAGAATATTGCTGTGCTTATATTAAGAAAATGTCTTTAAAGGGGAACCTTTATCCACCGATTTTGCAAAATTACTCCATCATTCAGTGGTTTAACTGTAAACAAAAGCATTCAGAGTGGTTTGGTGTGAAATGAGCCTTTCTAGAGAAATTTAGAGTCAGAATTGTTCACCACTGTAGCCGTAGGAACCAGAGGTCCGTATGTCTGCACTACAAATATCACCGTTTTATCTGCTCTCCAAAAAGACCAGTGAACTTACCTGTGTTTTATAAGTTTTATAAGTCACGCTGATAATGATAAAACAGTGTTACGTATGAAAAAATACGTTTTCTGTGGGTACTATTTTTCCTTATAACGCCCTGCATGTACCTCTCCACCCGGCACTCCTTTTGTGTTGTTTGGGTTGGCAGGGTTGCGTAGCGCCACGTCAGCAAAACTCAGAGCTTCTGTGAGTAACGTTATTCATCAGAGGAGCTGCGACAGATCACAGTCACACCTCGCTGGGTGATTGTTCAGAGTGGTGGTGAACTGCGCTGTACCAGGACGCAGAAAGGAACACAGTACGGTGCCTTTTTTTCCCACTTGCCGTTACAAACAGCAGAAATCCTGAAGTTGTAGCTTATTGTTTTGAAGCTAGACACAAATCAGACTGTCTAAAATGGCTCACGCAATAAAATAACCAGCTGCCTCGCTGGCCGACCCCGTAAACTGTTAAGCAGTGTAGCAAGCACTTTGTTGTTGACACCACCAACGTCCATCGCCCTGGACTCCTCTCTTCTTCAAGCCGCTGCAGGTCATTGGTGTGTTCTGGTTCTTGCTATGGCTCTACGACAGTTTGGAAAAAGACCTCATCAAAGTCCTCTGCATACTCTGCCATTTTCTAGAATAGGTAAGAAAACTGTAAAAACCATCTGTGAACAGAAGCTGCTGCTGGCGTTAGCCCTGTTGAACGGCTGTAGCTACAGGCTATTGACAACAAAAAGCACGTTAGCTTGCGTGCATTGATCTCAGTTGAGATCGGTTTTGAGAGGAAACACAGAAGTGATCTTGGAGTAACAGTTTGTACTAAAAATATGTTTTAGGCCAAATCTTTATAACAAAACTATCACAAAACAATGTCTGAGGCATCAAACAACATATTCATAACCATTTTGTGTAATAACTTCATGGGTTGTAGCTTTTAGAGCCATTAAATGCTTCAGACGTCTGGTTCCTACAACCTACAGTGGTGAACAATTTTGACTCTGTAAATTTCTCTAGAAAGATCCATTTCACACCGAACCTCTCTGAATGATTTCGTTTACACCCAAACCATTGAATGATTGAGTAATTTTGCAAAATCGGTGGAGTTCCCCTTGTAGTAATGTGATGTTAGATTTTTTTTCCTGAGGATTTTTTAAATGAAGAACTATATAACGAGGTACAGAAAGAAATAAAGAAATGATCAAAATAAATGAATAAAGTAAGCGCATAAGGGCTGAAATCCAGAATTCTACTATGAACTTTATGCTGTTACTGTACACAGGCTGTTATTGTTTGTATGATAAATCACGTTTTTATCATCTTGACAATACCAGTTTCAGTGATAAACACATTGTTAAGAGCTGCAGAGACAGAAGAGATCAAATGACCTCAGACATGCGTCATTACATTGCTGGCACAGACCGTTACGAGCTTGATGAGAGCTTCTCTGCACTGGGATTGAGCCCTGCTGCTCTCGCGCGCGGAGGACGAGCAGCTGAACTGTTAGGCTAAATGGCCCATTACAAAACACACTCCTCCATCCTGAACTCCAAGCCAGTTAAAACACATCAAACCTTAGGGTTGGTCCCCCACCCAGCACCGTGTTTGAACTGTGGGAAGCAGTAATGGCTGCTGTCACAACGGACATATTGAATAACTAAACACAAACAAATATATAAATAACTTTCATTTCATGTAGGTGTTTCATTTATTTCTTTTTATTCTGCACACCAGTGAAAAAGCTCACACACACAATGGCAGTTAACAGCTCGCTCTGAGTCCAGGTTCTGACGCTCGGATGTGATTAATCCTTGTGTGCACGTCTGTGAAAGATGGCGTTTATGATGAACAGCCAATCGCACGAAACATGGAGTCCAGCAGCTCATTGGAGTAATAACTGCTTCATATTCTCAACATCCAGGGATGGGGAGTAGCTAAGTAGCACGCTACTTTTTGTGCTAACTACAAGTTTTTGTAGCTAGTAGCTGGAGCTGCTACAAATTTATGTGTAGCTACAGTGATAGTTTTTGCTACAGGCTTCGGGCAATTGGCGCAAAATCTGAACCACAGAACGCGGCCGTTAACGGGGCTGGTGGCGACTGTGCAGTAATGACTGAGCAGCAATGACTTACTTTGCTCTGCTTTAACCTTCAGCTCAGCTGTAGCCGCTTTTCTCACATCTCAGGAAACTTTTCCGCGAAAGTTTCTTGTAAAATGTCTCTCAATGTTTGACTTTTTACGAGGCTGAAGTTGCTTCTCATTCTCCAGCTTCTCGTTCGAATTGTCCCATTCCACCTTAAATGGTGCCTGAGGCATCAGATTGTACTACTGCGCCATTTAAGATGGAATAGGACAATTCAAACGAGAAGCTGGAGAATGAGAAGCGACTTCAGCTTCGCGAGTTGTTGCAGATTAAACGTATGAGGAAACCAGCTGAGTAATTATAAGCAGAAATAAGTCCGTTCATCTCCAAATTATCGATGTTCGTCTTAAATCTCTCTCTTTGCCGTTTCGTTATCTGCACTGCTGTGTGTCCAGCAGTCTGCGCGTCAGTCTTCAGGGTTAAAGGGTGGATTTTATGATACTGAATACTCAAGATGTCGATATCAGTATCGGAAATGAAAAAGTGCTATCATGGCATCTCTAATGATTTACCGTCATATTGCCCACCCTTACCTTACAGCATCATTATTCCTCAACTGCCCGTCCCACTCTCCGGTGCTGTCCAGATTCTGCCGAGCCTCCGCGTCAGCACCCTGAAGAAGGAGGTCCACGAGGCTGTTGCGAGGCAGGGCCTCGCCACCCTGTGCTGGTGGTGTCCGGATATCTTCCTGTCATACCTTTAAAGGATTTATTCAGTTTTGTTGGCAGCTGTTTATTTAAAAATGACTGAGAATGTTAATGTTTTTGTTCGTATCATGTAAATTACCTCAAATGTAGTTCAACATTAAAAAGGTTCTTCTTGCCCAGTTCCAAATGTTCTGCGTTTTTCTTTGAAGTTTGACGTGCTGTAGCAGTTTCAAGCAACATCTCATGGTTGTTCTTTTGGAGTTAGCTTTAGTCCAACATGGCTGTACTACAGAATCTTCTAGTCCTTCATCCTAAACTAAGATCTGAGGTCAGGATTATATCATAGCGTACACGCTTAAGAGATGGGTCTTCAAGCGTTCTTTAGTAAAGAGTGGTTCTGTTTAGAACCATTTCATTCTACATAGAACCATCTCATTCTATACGGATCCATACTGTGAAACGCTTCTTCAGATTGATGGAGAGTGTGTTGTAAAGGGTTCTGCTATTGTTTTAATATCAAGCTTGTAACAACAGGAGAACCCTTTTATACAACACACTCTCCATCGATCTGAAGAACCGTTTCACAGTATTGATCTGTATAGAATGAGATGGTTTTATGTAGAATGAAATGGTTCTAAACAGAACCACTCTTTACTAAAGAACCCTGGAAGGACCATTTTTTCAGAGTTATGAAATACCAAAATACTCGATCCGAGGTCAATAATCAGTTATGTGTCCTACCAAACAACCAGCGACACACACAAAGCTGAAGACTGAACAAGTAACCAGAGCAACGTTAAAGCCTAAGTTGGCTGACTGACGTTTTCGGTGTAAAACCGTCGAAACAAAGCTTAAGTGTGATAAACGGGAAGTTCTGGATATTCTGACAGAACCCCCTGCTCTTTAACAGGGCGCCTCCAGTTTCCGTCTCCCAAAGCTTTAGCTGCTCATCCCTCCTCATAAACAGACACACAGCCAGCTGTGTCTCCTCAGCACTCACCACCATCACTGTGATACTTTATCTAGTCATACAGTCCAGTTACAGTAAACCCCACTGTTGGGGTTCATCTTAAAGTCAGGACAGTATTTAGGAGGTTTGGTCTAGTTAGGATGTTTGTGTGATGCTGTTTTCTTATCTGGAGTTCATGATGAGATTATGAAGTTAGGAACTGTTATTCTGGAATAGCTACTGAAGTCGTCATGGAGACTGAAACAGGTCAGAATTCAGAGGTAAGAAGTTTGTGTAATTTGGCTCCTCCCTGAACTTGAGAACTACGTTAATAAACAAACAAACAAACAAACAAACAAACATTACCAGTCTGAACTCCCCCCACCAAGTGGATTATTATCTCTTTCGGAAAAAACCTTGAATCTCCAGAGAAGACAGTTTTGCAGGAGAAGGAAAAACACCCTTAACTTTCAGTGTAAGTTAATGGAACATGTCATTTTGGATCATTTATACTAGTTCATCAATCATTACATTTTGGCACAGTGCAAACAACAGTTGGTCAAATTATGTAAACAAGTATTTTAAAAAAAGAAGATAAGGTTTTGTTCAGACAGCGATGATATGACACTACAATGGTGTGACAGCGAGCTGCTCTGTAACTAAAACTGCCTGTGTTCCGTTTTGAAACTCTTCCCCAAAAAAATAAAAACTCCCTCACTGGTTTTACGGTTGCTAAAGTTAAAGCCTTCTGGATACAGAGGCAATTTTTAAAAGATTTTCAACTTTTGGGAAGGCATTTAGTTTCATGGCGTATTGATGGTGAATTCACACCTTGTACCAAATCATGCATGGCTTTCCATCACCATCACCTGACTGAAGCAGCTTGGAAACACTCAGGGTTTCACACCTTCTTTAATATTTATAGAGTAAGAGCTCTGTACAGTGTTTACAAGTGTGTGTGTTTTATACACAAACCACTGCTCAGCTCCCTGCCTTCATCAGACAACGAAAGTCTTAAGGACCTTCTGGATGATCCGGTCACAGCCAGGACACGGAGCGTGGAGTCAGGGCAAGCAGGTGATCAAGTGGGCGGTGTGGCCGTGGATGATGTTGCCGTTGCGGGGCCGGATGCGGCACAGCTTGCATGGCTCCGGCACGGCTTCCTGTCGACACTCGGGTCTCGCCGTCCAGCATGTCCTGGCTGTCCCCTTCCAAGCTCTCCTGGCAGCTCTGCAGCAGCCGGCAGGGGGCCTTCCCCTTGGCTGAGGTGGAGGAAGGTAGCAGGTTGCGGGCGACCTGGCGTGAGGGGAGAATGACGGGGTCCGACGCGGTTCTGAGGCAGTCGGGCACGTTTATACCGTCGCTCGTTTTTATGTTCAGGGCGCTGGGGGTGGGAGCTGCAGATGGGGGTGTCAGGGACTAAGATGGAGTGGACCAGGTGGGGGCAGTCTTTGTACCAGTCCTTGTGCAGGGACCAGCAGCGCATGCAGTAGTGCTGCAGGGCAGAGTTGAATTTGCGGCATTCAGTGCACTGCCACGCATCCTGCGGCGAGAAAAGATGTTTGGTTTAAAGCCACACAAGTAAGCAAACATGACTGCAGATGTGCAGAAGTAGCCTGTGCTCTTATTTGTGTAACCATGTGGTCAGTAATCATGGTCAGTTAAACAGCAAAAACAAGGACTAATTTCCACAAAGTATTTACACTTTTTCTGCTGGCAATTTTAAGATGGTCCTAAAACCGAAGCAGACACACGATCACAAAGTAGTAGTGGGTGAGTAGAAGCTTAATCTTTGTCAAATAAAAACCATAACAATGGTAGAGTTCAGTGGTATATTGTTAACTTTAACTTGGCCATGAGAATATAATTAATGTACTACGAGAGAACGAAAATGGTACAAACTGTACAGTCAGAAACAGTTTTGTCTGTGGCCTCTTATCCTGATGCCTTTGGTCTGAGGTTGTTCTGCATTATGGCCCCCATTATGTGACTTAACCGTTTCGGGGACAAGCCAAAAACAATTTTACTCGCCATTGCTTTCTAAAATCTATTGCATATAAATGCAGACACCTTTCACAAAAGTTGGAACAGGGACAACAGAAGACTGGTAGAGTTGTGTAATGCTTAATAAATAAATAAATAAATAAATAAATAAATAAATAAAATAACCGCAGCCGAACGTCCCACAACTAATTAGGTAAACTGACAACAGGTCAGAAATGTTTGAGTGTTAAAAAAAAAGAGCAGTCCAGAGAGTATGAGTCTTTCAGAAGTAAAGATGGGGAGGGGATCACCACTCTGGGAAAGACTACACAGGCAAATAACTTGCAAAAAATTACAAAGAACTCAGAGATTTCATCATCTACAGTACATAATCTCTTTAAACGATTCAGAGAATCCAGAGAAATCTCTGTAAAACCAATACGAGCTGGCTGTGATCTTTGGAAAACAGATTCTGTAGTGGAAATCACTGCAAGCGTTCAGTAACAGTTCCCGAAAAACATTTTCTGAGCACAGTTCATCACTGCATCCACAAATGCAATCAACTCTACCATGCAAAGCCACACAGTCACCACTGAAAACATTTGTTGCATTACAAAACAAAAAATACGACAATCAGGAGACCCCCCTCTCCCCCCGTACCAAGCAAGAAGATATATTTTTCAAAAACAACTAAATTTCTCACTTCCAACATTTCATATGTTGTCTTTGTACTGTTTTCAATTAAATACAGAGGTTAAATGATTTGCACATCATTGCATTTGTAGAAGGTTGTAAGTTGTAGAAGAAAGCACACTAGAAGTGTGTGTGCTATGCGCTTTCCATACCTCAGAACATGCTTACCTGTGTGAAGATCTCCATGTCTGTATCATCACTCAAACACCTCTTGCATCTGAGAACACAGCAAACATTAAAAAGACATAAGCAGGAGACTACACAACTGAACGCAACCCAATTCCACACAGACATGTCAATAAAATGAGCATTGGCATGTCCCACCACCACGCTCCTTTTATTGGCACCCCCTACCTGTTTGTCCTCCTTGCGACTGCTCCCTTTCTCTTCTTCCTCCTGAGGGGACCCTGCGTCGCTGCCCTGCTCCAGCGCCGCCTCCTTCATCTCCACGCTCAACCGCTCACCCTCAGCTTCGTTCAGAAACCGAAGATCATCCGTGGTGTCCGAAACAATGGCTATGCCCTCCTCCCGCCCAGGGGACACCTGCTTCCTCAGTCTAGTTGCATGGAACAAATCACTGGGCTTCCACACTTTTGCACTAAAGCTACATATAAGTGAGCAATATCTAATCTATTACTGGGTCCTCATGTCCGTGCTACAATGAGACACAATCAGACAGAATGTTCTTTTTCTGTTTTTCTTTTCCTTCATTTGATAGATGTCTTTTAAAAAAGCCTAAAAATCCATTCATTCATTCATTAGTGCGTTAGCTTGTCCCTCTTACTTGATTCGATGGATGTTACTGCGCAGGTTACCCAGAAACCACCAAGGTAGACCGGGCAGGTTCCACTCGTCAAGGCTCACGTCCAGCTTTGGCCGTTTGCAGGATGACCTTGGCAACCCATCTAAAGAGTCTGCAGGCGATTTCAACAGATCGGGGCAAAAATTAGACCCCAAACCCACGAAACGTCCACTGCACTGTCAGCAGCTCTGAGTTCAACTTTTTAAATGAAATGATACCTGTCTCACAAAGCATGTTCAACTCAGACTCAGCACAAGGCTCCACTCGTTATGTGGAGCCTTCTGCTGGGCTCTGCACGTTGAGCTTGACCCCGGGGGCAGGGGTGACGACAGGGAGGTCATAGTTGGCTAACTATGAAAGAAAAGTCTTATTACAACTTTCAATCATAATAATCTTACCAGCCATGCTGTCTTGCCCTGGAAAAGCATACCATGGCAATCAGTACTACCTCAGCCAGCGTATAATGTTGGCCACCAACGTTCTACTGTCATCAGCTCACTGACCTAGACATGCCAGTTAAAGGGGAACTCCACCGATTTTGCAAAGTTACTCAATCTTTCAGTGGTTTAGATGTAAACAAAAGCATTGAGAGTGGTTTGGTGTGAAATGTGCTTTTCTAGAGAAATTTA